CTGGGTAAGGCAGACAACTCCCTGGGTGCCTGCTGAGAGCCTGAGAAGAGAGGAAGGAGGAGGATTACAGGAGGGAGTAGAAGGAGATGAGAGGGAAGGGGGGTGGTGGGCAGCGGGCCCCACTCCTCCACCTGCTGCTCTGTGAACAAAGCCAAGAATGATGCAATCCTGGCCTGGTGCAGCTGAGGCTGCAAGGCCCTGGGAAGGAAAAGTGGGTGTTGGGGGTGGGGAAGGCAGGGGCAGCAGGGCAGATGCGAGGGGCCTGTGGATACTGGACCTTGGATTCCCAGCCCAACATGTGACTCCTTCCTGTGGCTCCTGGCCACCTCCTGAAGCCCCTCACCCAGAATCAGACCCCTCCCCAAATAGTCACAGCTGCCTTCGAAATAGAAGGCAAACATGATGCAACTGGGACATCATTCCAGGCAGCCTCCCAGAGGGGAGGGCACTGCCTCACAGAGGGAGGGAGATGATGAGAGATCCAGACACCAAGGTGACTCGGATGCCCCACTGGGTCCTTCACCAGCAGGCCTCTGTGCCCCCTTCCTTTCATCTTGGGAACCAAAGGCAAAATCCTCTGGAGAAGGTGGGATTGGAAGGCTCGAGGGAACCGTCACCCAGGACTTGCACAAAATAGTACATATTTATAGAATTAAATAAAAACCCAAGGCAGTCACTGAGACAGGTCTGGGCCCCCAGTGCCAGGGGGCCCCAGCATCCCCCTGGGGCAAGTGTACCATTAGCAGCCATCAAGCCAGTGGAGGTGGGGATGGTGCCTTAGAATGGCCCCCCTAGGGTGTCTGCCTCAGCTCCCCCACTCTGCCTGAGAGCCAAGAGAACAAAGGCTTCCCTAAATTCCACCTGGAGAAAGGGGGCTTGTCCCACACACGAAGGCCATGCGGAGGATGTATCCCGGGTCAGGGTCCCCAAGGGCGCAGGGCATTAATTGGGGGCAGCCGAAGAGGACTAGAGATACTGTGTTCAGGAATATTTAAGCCCAGCCTCGCCCCGCTGCCACCCAGACCCAAGGGGACAGCTGGGTGGCCTAGCCCAGAGGAGCCACTAGGTGGCAGGAAAAGCCCAGCAACTCCCTCAGCTCCACCTGCTCCATCACCCACCCCATCACCCGCCCCGGAGCCCTGCCCTCCCCCAACCCCCCCTCCTTCCTCCCACGTCCCTCCTCCCTCCAGCCCAGCCCTCTCTGAGCCTCCAGTGACAGGGCCCCTGTAGTCTTTTCATTCTGCCTTTGGGAAGACAAAAAGCTCTCAGTCATCCTCAAAATGCCACTAATAATGATGATAATAATTAGTGCCCATGGCTGTTTATTGAGTGCTGAAGAGGTCCCAGGCATTTTCCATGCATTATCTCATCTATTCCTACATGAAGTAAATTAAAAAAAAAAAATCCTCTCCCTCTTTTCAAGGAGACAGAAAGCATAAACAGATTTTACTCAAACCCAGGGTCCTTGCTTGGGAGTGGTATTAAGTGGGTGTAGGCCTGAGGAGGAGGGCAAGGACCCATCAGATGCATCTCAGTTTTGTCCACCATCTTTACCACCCCCTCTCCCCTACCAAAGCCCTCGAGATTTTAGGAGGATATCTTAGTCTTGGGGTGAGTGTGAGGTTTAAAAAGTTTACCCAAGTGATTCAGGCTCACAAAACTCCGGCTCTGGCTGAGAACCACTGCATCTTACACTGCGGCCTCTCCTTCAGCCTCCACAAGGCATTCTGGGTTCTCCCCTCGCCGGTACTGCTCCCCATGTGAATTCTTATTCCAGTATGGTTGCCCCCCATTCAGGCTCAAAGGTGATTCCAGCCCAGAGGACCTTCCTCCACGGCCACTTCCACTTCTGGCTTGGCTGTCATTGACCTTCTGCATGGTTTTCAGCAAACATGCATGGGGCCATGTCTTGGTGTGCCGGCACAGCACTAGGGTGCGGGTGGGGGACAGAGCAGAAGATGAATAAGACACAGAACCCGCTTCCAACAAGAGTTTCACATGACTGAAGCTAGGCTTGCAGTCACTGCTGCATATGGTGTCCCATTCAAAGAAATAGCCCCATATCCAGAAGAAAAGGATGTCTGTCTTTATTGCTGTGTTCTTCACAATATCAGGGTATTGGAGAAGGTGGCAGCTGCAGGGAAGGGGAACCAGAAGATGATACCCAGTGGACAGTGAAACAACCTGGTATCTTCTTTAACTTTACCCATCTCTCACATAAGACAACTGCTGCCAGACTCCCATCCCATTCCTAACCTTCCAAACTCCCCCCAGGCTCAGCTGTTACCTTCCCACACTTATTTTTCTCCCCCAGGATAAACTTAGCTAGCCTCTCCTATTCTCCCACCCATCCCATCACCCTCCGGTCTGCAGAATAAAGGCCCAGAATCAAAGTGAACTTCCTCAGAAAGGGGAACAGGGAGAGACAGGAATGAGATGATAAGCCCAGGATGTGAAGAAGGGCCCCTTAGCTGAGCTCTTAAAATGCAGGGCTTCTGTTAAGTGAGAAATGCAGGGGGAGTCAGTAGTTCAGTGTCACCTCTGGTCACTGGACACAGCTGCTGACCCTACATTGGCAGCATCTTCCATCCAAAGGGCAGCAACAGCTCTGTTATTCTTTCTGTCATTCTCTCTGATGCCATTGGCACCAGGAGGAAATGGTCCATGTCCCCTACTTTGGAATATCTTGAGTTACAGCTATGTCACGTAGTTCATGCTGTTACTCCAACCATCAGAAGTTCAACACCTCAAGAAAATTCTGAAGACTGACACTTAGTGACAAAACAAACAAACAAACAAACAAACAAACAAACCATACTTCCAAACGATCAAGTTGTCTTGGGCAAAAGCCAGGTTCAAGGCTGCCTGACTAGAAAAATAAGCAGCACTCCTGAGAAGGGGCCTGATCTCACATTTCCTCAGCCACCACCAAGATGGCACATCTACTCAACTTTGCCAGTCCTGAGGGCAGGGAGAGAGCTCAAAAGGACACAGGTTCTGTCCCACACAGACCAGTGGTTATAGTCAAGTAACTGGCAGGCAATGACCAAACATTTTAACAGAAGAAGGAGCATTTGGCCAAGAGTGGCTGGTGAAAATTCCAGAGGTGATCCTGGAGGAAAATCTTGAAGGATGAGTAGTTCTGCAGGTGAAGGGGGTGAGAAGTATGTGTCCTCCAGGCAGAGGGGACAGCACGAAGGAAGGTGGAATGGCAGAAGGGATGCCATGATCTGGGGACTTTGAATCATGCATTGTGACCAGAGGGCAACCTGTGTTGCAGGGGAAGGAGAAACCACCTTGAACATCAAGTTAAGATTTTCTTTTCAAAGTTAAAGGTGATAGATGATTCTAAACTAAGAAAGTGACTTGAGCACATCTTTATTTTGAAAGGACAATTGGAAGGACTGGAGAGGGAAAACAGGAAGCAGGATGACCCGCTGGGAATTCGTCCAGGTAAAAGGGGGGACGCCTATACTAAGACTTGACTACTGAGGAGAAGGCATGTCATAGCTTAAATAGCGACCCAGATTTAGGATAAAACCACCGTCAGAATTCCTCTTGAGAATCTCTTGGGAAGGGGTTGCATTAGAGGTCAACAACCCAGCTAGCACTTCTTCCAAGCTGGATTCAACTTATGTGCCTTTGGCTGAGCACCAGAGGAAAACGGCTGGTCTTCAGAATCTACATGGTGCAAACAGGTGCTAGAATCCTTACGGACAAAATGCTCTCACTCTAAGAGGCTGGAGGGAACTAGGATAGAAGATTCACTTTTCCCATCTCATCCTTAATCAGGGGAACACGAGTGAATGGAGGAGGGAATCTCCTGCACTATTACTATATGTTATGTGCTTATGATTGAATTCAAGTAAGTTAGGTACATGCATGAGACACCACTGAGAGGTGAGATGGAATGAAAGTGGTAGCTGAAAGTGGACAGGAAACACAAGAGATGAAGGAGATGGCTCCAGGCTTGGAGGCAAAGAGGGTGGGAGGGGGTTGTTTTATTTATTTTGGACTCAGCTATTTCCCAAAGAATGCCTTTTCTTCTATGGCATTTGTAACCCAAGCCAGAGGAGACTATAACTAGGCAAAGATTCCTTATGACTGACAAGTGTGCCCAAATGGTGGCCATTTGAATTGCTGATTCCAAGTTAAGCATTTTCCTTTGTAACGTTCACACATCATAGCTTGGAGCACTTTTTCTTTCAAACGGGAAGAAAACTTTAATAAAGAGTTCATACCTTCATAGAACAGCTATCAGACTTGGTAAGACACTGATTCATCCTAACATGGACCTGTGACTTGTGAATGAACTGGATGGTGTAAGGGGGATTCCAAGACTCCCTCCTGGGGCACTTGAAATCAGTCCTATGAAAATACAGCTGCTGAGAAATAGGGCTTCATCTCACCCAACATGCTTCCCTCTCTGAGGATGCAAAGAAACTATAGAAAATTCTCTAAAATGTGCCAAGGGGATACACTGGCCCTCTCAGTGGGGAACTTGGAGAGGGTTTGGGTTGGAAAATGAAGAGAGATTTGCATGGTTTGAAGTATACACAGTTGTCAATCAGAAAAACATTTCTGGTCCTTTCCTCTCCAAAGAGGACAGCTGGAGAGGAAATGGGCTAGAAAGGCAGGAGGGACACAGGTTAAACTTATGAGAAAAGCTGCCAGCCTAGGTAAATACTAGGAATGACAGACACTATGGTAAAATAGGAACTCTCCCTAAATAGAGCAAAAAAGCCAGACACTCCACCCCAGAAAGCTCTCTGGAATTCTCCCGCATTTCCTGGGGAAGAAGAGCAGCTTCGAGCTTTGATGGCCATCAGCCTCAGGAGTTTTCCAACATCTCTTACTCTGACAAGACCAGTTCTGGACGCTCTGCTTGGCTGACATCACATGGATTCCCTAATTGCCAGGGGGTGGACCCTAAGAGGGCAGTGATGGTGTGAGGAGTCATACGAGACAGGAGAGGGACTGAAAACCCAAATAACATGAAATAATTTCTAAACATTTTTATTTCAAATCTCTTTTCACCCCTTCCGCAAAAAGACATGGGTCAGTACAGCAATCATAAAAAGGAGGTACAAACACAAGAGTCAAATGTCTCCCGCACTGACACTTACAAAAAACTGGGAATTGTACATGGGGTTTCCAAACAGGACCTGCAGCAGCTACTAATGTCCCTTTACAAGAGTCAAACATGCCTATTAATACAGTATGTACAGACACCCCACTCTGGAACTAATCTACAGGGACATCCCAACACCCACCCATCTATTCCCAGAAAAATACCAAAACACACCCAAAGTGCATTTGTTTTGTTTATATCAAAACATCTTTCCCTTTCCCCACCCCACCCTCAGACCCTCCCACCCCATTTAAGATTGGCCTGCAAGTCTATTTTAACCATTTAGTAATTTTTATAGTTTATGAAAATAAATTATACAGCAACTATTTTAATAAATTAAGCACAAAAAGGTAGAGGAAAGGAGAAAAACTAAATGGGAAGACAAAAGCCAGGCCACGCTTTGGCTTGGAGGAGGGTGGGGTGGCTGAAGAGGACGGAAGTGGTTGCGGAGGGGGTGTGGCTCCCCTTCTGGTGAAGAATTGGCAACCACCCCGAGCCCAGAACGACACCCCTCTTCATTAAATTTCTTAAAAACAACCAAAAAAATGTCTAGCAGTGGCTGTGCCACGGGCAGCACCAGTTTGGGCATTCCAACAACCGGCCTGTCCAGAGCAGTGCCTGGATTATGTTTGTCTCTTGGAGAAGGTTCTGGGCCTAACGGTGAGGGGCAGGTCCCTGTTCAAGGAAGCACCAGGGATGGAGTGGTCAGACCAGCCTTCCCGCTCCACCTGAGCTGGGTAGGGGGCTTGGGACACAGCTCTGAGTGGGGCTGTGTGGTTTGTGATGTCCTGGGTTCTGATCAAGAGTGTCCTAAGTTCACCTTACACTCCATCTCCAGGAGCAATTACGATCGCAGTCCAGCTGCGACCAGACATTCAGGTCTTCCGCCCTAACTGGCTGCTTTTTGCCTGCCCCTCAATGTGGCGTTTCAGAGAAGCGGTTGGGGAGGAGGGAGCAGTTCCAGGTATCCTCTAAATGAGATGAAATGGGCGTGAAGGCATGTCACAGACTCAGCATGCAAGACTGGCTTCCTGGGAGGTAGCCGGGAGTGGGAAGGACTGGGAGAAGGGGTAGGGGACAGGATGGGAAACAGGAAGAAAGTGGGTGGCACCTACCAGGAAGGTCAAAAGCATGAAAAGGACAAAGACAATATGGAATCTGCATGTAAAGAAAGGTCTTTCCCTGGCAGATTAGAGAATCGATATTTTAAATACAGTTCATGACTATTTTTCTAACTGCAGCATCTGAGTCCCCAGTCTCTACGGTCCGACCCCCATCTCACTCTTCCCAAGGCTTTGCTTTCTATCTTCTCAAGGCCTCCTGTCATTTTGTGCTGAGCATTAGGCTCCAATGTCAAAACAGGACAGATCACAAGGACTGGTGGACTTGACTTTGCCTTCTTGAGCTTTGGGGACCAATAACCCTATAACTATAATGGAGGGAAGGGGGTCATGCTTTTTTTTCTTTTTCTTTTTTAATAAAAAAGGTTTTACTCCCCAGGAGCAAATAAATCATTTTCAACTACTGATAAACACTGCTGCAGTGAAAAGAAAGATGGCTACATGTATGCAATAGCACAAATTCAGTGTAAGAACAGCTGTGTTGACAATCAGAGATAAAAATCATTTATCCATTCCCCCTTTCCCACAAACCAAACCAAGAGGATTCCCATAGGGAAAATGTCTAACTCAAAAGCTCCTCCCTTAGGGACAGGGGGCATGTCATTCTCTAAAAACAAATGGCAGGTCTCTCCCCAGTGGAGATGCTCTCAACACCCCAACTGGTACCAAGACTTCTGCAAATGAACACACACACACACACACATACACACATACAGTGACTATCAGACCTCCTTCCAGCAGCCAGAGCGCTATATATCCCAGGGCTAGTCCTCCAACTTCAGGGCTCAAAGCCAAGGTAGAGGATGCAGGGCAGGAAAGGATCCAACCTAAGGGATAAGTTCCTCTTATTTCCATTTCCCACTAGGGCCGAGGGCTTCCAGCCGGCCATGCTCTTCCAGGGGCCCAGGTGGAGGCTAAAAAGGCTGGCACCCAGAGCATTGGGCTCTACACAGGCCTCTCACACCTAGATCTGGGAACACTAACCACCCTCCCTCTTCCCAGTACTTCCTGGATGTGCATTGGAGGGGTGTTTGCAGCTATCTCTGCGTCACTCCCAACCTCAGCAGGGGCCTGCATAATCAGCCCCAGTGACAAGCAGGAGAGGAGGAGAAACCACAGCGGTGAGCTCCCCACCATCCCTCTCCCCTCAGGAGGCTGAGTGCTGCCGCCCAGGGCTGGCCTTCCAGGGTGTCACACTCACTGTAGCCAGGCACAGGCAGGCAACCAGGCCAAGGCCATCACCAACTGTCCTAAACTCCTAGCTGTCACCCACTTAGCTAGGCCCTGCACCAAAGCCCCCACCCTCCTCCTCCTGTGCAACCATAGCACACGAATTTCAAGTAATAGCAAGTTGTAGCAGTAGCTGCCCCAGCGCACAGTGAGTCACACCTGTCCTGAGGAGGTTACAGCAGATCAATCCTAACCAAGTGAGGGTTCCACAGCCTGGGCCTGAGGGTAATGACATCACCCATCACATCTTAGAATCAACAACAGGTCCCTAGAAGTGAGAACCTTTTCCAGTTTGTGACCTGAAAAATACAACAACCAAAAGATTGAATTCCCTCTGCAGACTGCATTTCAATTAGCACTACACAGAACTGGTGGGGGGGCGGGGGCGCAGCCGGGAGAGATGCAGCCAGCTGCTCCTGCTCCCTCTGTTTACTCGGACCTGGCTGGTACCTCAGCCAACAGCCCTTCCTCCTCACCTCCCAATGGAGCCTGTCTCCTCTTATGCAACTGTCCTGAAGCCCCCTCTACTGAGGAAGGACCAGGCGCCAGCCTGGGCTGTGACTAACGCACAGACAGATCATGGACACAGGTAAACGCTGCCCCTCCTGGGAGAAGAAAGAAGGATGGTGGTGAGGTTGCGTCTCACCTCCTCAGCTGGTTTGGTTTTGTACCTGAGAGTATAGGTTCTCTGATGGAAACCCCTGGTACCACAAGGGGCCCGGGGGTTCTGCCTTCCTCACCCAGGCTGGCCTGAGAACGGTGAAGTCCCTGGCCACAGGCAGGAACCTGGCTGACTTCTGGCTCTGGGCTCCACTTCACCATCAGAGCCACACAATTCAGACCTAACGATGACTGGAAAGTTTCAGTCTAGACGACTGCATGGGAAAAGGACTCTTCGATGCCATCAGTCTAACTTGAGGCTTGTTCAGGACTCATCATGTACATTTCTGCTTCTAAGCTCCTGTTCTGATCTCATCTCATGTTTATGCGTTTCTCATCTCACTGTCCTGCCCTCACCTACAACCCAAAGCCTCACAGCCCCAGAGCTGTCCTTGACCATCTGGTCTACCCTACTCTGCTCTTACCCACTCTGAATTTTCCTAAAAACAGCCCTTGATTCTGCCTGCAAGCTGAGTTATTCTCTAATTGCTTTTTGTGTGGCAGTCACCTAAAAGCTCCTTTAGGCCAGATATCACATCTTTCACCCCTTGTGTTTTCCACAGTAGCTAGCCCAGAGCCAGACAAACACACACTAAAAAGTAATTTAAAAAATAAAGATCCCATGAAGCTGTATAACAGCCACTTGAGCATCTCAATGGATTTCAGATGGCGGGCCCTACAGTTGGGTGACACTTTCTGCAAGATGGCAAGACACACAGGTTAAACCAATTTCTAGGATCACAATCTTAACTGGTTCTTAACACTACCATGGAAGCCAAAGAGAGAAGAGGTATCTCACAACAAATGAGAGATGGGCTATGCTTATGCTATGAAACTCATTTTCTGGGCCACCTCTTTACAGCCAGGTAGCAATGCAAGTTTCCTCCCTTTTCGGCTATAAGGAGGAAGAATGGTCATTCCATGCAGGATGTAAGGCAGAAGGCCAACACTTCCAGATGAGTCAGTCCTATAAATTACCAAGACACTGGGCCTCACCCCAAACCACCAAGAAACCACAAACCTGACATTATCTCACGAGATGAGGCAGATATAAGCACAGGGGAACCAAAAGAAGCAGTCTGTTCGAACACTTGCTGCAAAAGACTAAAAAAAAAAAATCAAACAGTTCAATCTTCACATCTTAATAGCAAACCTCTCCCCAGAGTAACTCTATAGAAATGCAAGCTCATAAGATTATATGATTTGACAATGGCCCAGTTCAGAAAAAAATTAAAGGCTACTGAAAAGCACTGGAGTTTTTCTCCCTCCTCTTCCACTTCCATCTGGAAAGCATGCAACTCTCAAATCGGCATCTGACAGACTTAACCAAAGGAAGGCGAACAGGCTCTAACTCAGGAAAATAGGTTGCTAGGAGGAACACAGGAAAATAAAGCCCTTGCTACCTCCTGTACCAGATAAGTCTAAAAACATGAGCTGTAATGCTCTTCCTTTCTATCTAAGACATTCCAGTAAGGCTGAGAAACCAGGGAGCTTTCTTGAAGACGAGCACAAGAGCTTCCTTTCTCACTTTCCTCCACGTTCCCTCTCACTGGCTGACAGACACACGGAGGTAAGTAACACTGACTCCTAAGCCATGGGTTCGATTTGCCATTAAGAATCTGGAAGCACGCTCCATTAACTTCAGCAGCCTGGGACTGGGCTCTGAACAGCTCAGGTGATGAGGAAAACTATTGCCCTGACAGCTGGCGGAAGCAATAGGAATGATGTTACCATAACCAGAGTGAAATGCACACTTATCTCGAGGGGATGGGTTGAGGGCAGAGGACGAACGGGGCTAACGTGAGGTCACAGAATTTAGGAATTCAGAAAAACAAAATGAACACAGCTTCAACGGGAGGTGATTCTGAAATCAGGCTCTTAAACCTTCAAATGAAAGGATATGAGGAATCACTACTTGCCCCAGCAAAGGCCATTTGCCAGCTTTTGTCCAGTAATTTTCTATTCCAGACGACCCACCCTCCTTTCTTTCTTGCTCCTACTGAAGCTACCCATGCTGAAAGAGAAGCAGATTCTCATCCCTCAGAAACTCCCGACTTGATCCGCACTTCTGACTCCTCCTTTCTTCAAGGTCAATGGTGAAGACTCGAATTCTGCCTTTGGCCCCAGCGGAATGGCCATCGCTGGCAACCCCCTCCCCTCGCTCCCCTCCCCTCCCCTCCTTCGGAGCTGCTCACCCTTGGCACCACTTCCAGTCCAATGGGCATAAACCCCAGCTGCCTTTAGGGTGAGTTTTCCAATCCGGGAAATGCAAATATCCAAAACAAAACTTCTGAAAAAGGAACAGTGTTGAGACTTCTTCCAGTTTTCCAAGGAGCTCATCCAGTTCCAGGACAGCACAGGGCTGGATTGTGACAAGGTGGAGCCCCACTTGGGAGAGTATGGTGTGTGCTTCTTCCAAGCCCCAGGGCTGAGAGGGGAACCAAAGTCTTTGCACAGAGGATCCCAACCCTTCCTACTCCCTGTTTTTCCTCATTCCCCTTTTCACGGTAGCTTCATTTGGTTCTTCAAAACCGGAGCTTGGCAACCAAATGCCTAGGTGAAAAAGGGCGAAAATTAGTGGCTCAACAGAGCGGAATCAAAATGGAGTAAAAGAGCGGCTTAGCCTCTGGAAGGTGGAGAAGTACAGCTCAAAAGGAGAATGGAGCCTGGAGAGCCAGGTGCTTCCACAAACACTGCCGCTGGCTGGGGATGTAGCAACAGCCTTGCCAGGGGGCCAGAGCAGCCTACAACCTGGATGCCAAAAAAAGGTCATGCTGCCTCTCTTCTCTTCTTTCCCCTTCATTTTCCACCCCCGCCCCCCTACTTCTTCTCTAAGGCCCACCTGCTGCTCTAGGAACTGAAAAAGGAACTGAGCCCCTGGGGTAACCACTGCGAGCCAGGCTAGACATAGCTGTAGGCTCTGCAGCTTCTGGCTCCTGGAGAGGGCTGACACATAATCACAAAGCCTAGTGCAGCTTCTACTTTCTGGTTTAAGATGGGCACTGCTCCAGGTGTTACCCTGTCCCCTAACTCCAAGCAGCCTGGCATGAAATTCCCCAGGTAACAGCATGCACGGACCAAGTGGCCCACTCAGAACTCCGAAAATAAAACCAGCCTCACCAACAAGACATCATAATGACCAAATTTCACAACTTAAAAGCCTTTCTCCTTTTTCAAAGGGTCCCTAGGAAACAGTACAGCCTAATGTTTATTCTTTGCCACAGGCAATAATCCCAGTGTCACAGCAAAAAGAGACCCTAGGAGGTCAGTTCAATCCTTTGCCAACACATGACTGTCTCTCCCCAAGACAAATGACTCCTGCCAACCTATACCTGATCATATTGTGCCCCTTCCTGTCTCATGGCCATAGCTATACTTAGAGGACCCTTTGCCTAGAATGCCCACTCCCAGATCCTCTTATGGTTAACTCCCTGACATTCAAATCTGAGCTGAAATGTCACTGCCTCAACAAGAGCCTTCTCTGATCTTTAAACTCGAGTAGTATCCAACTACTAAATTTCATAGTTTTATTTTCCTTGTAACATGTACAGTCAACTGAAATTAGCCTATTCCCTAATTTACAGGTTGCTGTCTGTCTCTCCTTAGGAGAACTGCAGCTCACGGAGAACAGGGCCTTTAACTATCTTTCTCAGCACTCTCTCCCCAAATCACACTGGCTACTTAATATACAGATATCTGCTGAATGAATAAACAAATGGGGGAACTCATTATTAACTCTTACTGAAAACCATTCCATGCTTGGATCTGTTAAAAATGTTCTTCTAAAGTTGGACTGAAATCTAACTGCTTGTAACTTTCACCCACTGTAGTCCTTGTTCTGCTCCCCTGGGAATCACAAAGAATAAATTTAATCACTCTTCCTTAGGAAAACCTATTAAATACACTTTCCGTCTTTTGTCTACCAATCCCCTCACCCTAAAACTTCTCTGCTCCATGACATTTATTTGCCACATGATGAAGTGTGGAGCCCTCCACCATCCTGAGCCTTTCTCTGAATGTGCTTGTGTGCACGGGGGCTCCTTCTAGGCCACAGCACCCACAGAAGCAGTGCTCTCACTGAACGGTCCCAATGACTCAACAGTAGTTGGGGAGGGGGGCCTCCCTAGTGCCCCACCACAAACACTGTGAAGCTACTGAGCAGAGAAACCCCCCGAAACTCAGATGTCTCAGCACCCACTTCAGAGGGCACACAACCTGCAGACACGGGCGTACCTCATTCAACTCACTTCGCTGCACTGTGCTTCGCAGAGACTGTGTTTTTACAGACTGAAGGCTTGTGGCAACGAAGCACTGTCAGATGATGATTAGCATTTTTTAGCAATAAAATATTTTAAAATTAAGGTATGTAGATGGTTTTTATAGACAGAATGCAGCTACAGCTCACTTAATAGACTACAGTACAGTGTAAATATAACTTTTATGCTCTGGGAAACCAAAAAAGTCATGTGACTTGCTTTATGGTGACATTTGCTTTTACATGGTGGTCTGAAACTGAACCCAAGTATCACCAAGGTATGCTTGAAACTGAAGACGTGATAGACACTGTAAGGATCCTTTACAGTAAAACTTCAGAGCCTCCCAGTTACCATTTCTTGGCTTGTGTTGTTTGTTTTTTATGAGGGGGAGGTAGTCAGGTTTCTTCATTGATTTCCACTCAGAGGAGGTAGCTGGGGATTGAACCCAGGACCTCTATAGGTGCCGAGCACATGCTCTGCCACTTGAGCTATACCCTCCCCCACCAGGGTTACTATTTCTTGATTTCTCTTCTTCATGCCTTCTCCCCTGGGTAATCCTTATTAACCTAGCTCACATGTTTCCCTCCAATGGCAAAGGGATCAGAGACTTCCACAGCCAAGAGGAGACACACAGCTGGGTTTTCATCAAGAAAACCCCAGGGAACATAAACCCTAGCTGCCACTCTCTCCCCTTATGAAGAGAGCTGAGAATGTGGGGAGACTAAAGCTCCCTTTTCACTTCCAAGGCTGTCCCTCCTAGGGGTTTTTCCCCTTGGTTTGTTTTGAATGGGGCCACCCCTATGCAGAACAGAGCAGGTTAGAAGAGGAGTAGAAGTATTCAGTGCTTAAGAAGGACACTCCATACTAAGAGGAAAGATGGGGATGGGGGTGATCTTTGCCTCCCAAAGTAGATCACTAGAATGTGAGATCTTGCATGTAATCACACTACCAAAATCACTACTCTGCCAATTTTGTTCCTTACTCACCTCTACCTTTCAATGTTCATATTAATGCAGTTTAAGATGACTAATTAGAATTCATCTGCACAAACCAGTATTCCAAGATATTTTATGGGAAAATAAATGAGTAGAATTCAGTGAAGCAATGGGAGAATAGCCTCTTAGATAAATGAATTCGTTAGTTAATTCATTTCTTCTTTTCAACAATTTACTTTTCAGTGGTCCAGATGGAATTCCAAAGAAAAGAGTGAGTTGTTTTTCCTCATCCTCATAGTCCAAGCCGTGGGACACAGTGTAGTTCTTACTGAAGTGCACACCTACTGCAATCAAAGGCATTTCATGTTCCCTTTGATGAAGTTTCCTTTCTCCCTGGTTTCCTGCTTTATGTTATTTGTGCAATATTGGGTGATCAGCCAGAGGAGAGAAGGGTGCACACTTAGCTGCTCTTGTGTGTCTCTATATTCAGTGATTAGCTTGCATGTTGCTTGGCAAGTACTCTTTAAGCCTCTCGTGTCTATCTGCCCTTCTCCCTGTTGGGGTATGTGTCCCCTTGGGACTCCATGATCAGATCTGGCAACTCTCTGGACAGATGCCTGGATCAGGGGCATATACATGGGGTGGGAGGCAGGGGATGAGGCCCAGTGCATGATGATAACTGCCCAGGAAGAGACTACGCTGGATGGTGAGGCAGAGAGCACATACCCTCAGTGGTGACCAGCAGGGGGCCCCTCGCTACGTGGAGGGTTCCAACACCTCTTGCTTCTGTTTGGAAATGAGCTGAGCTTCCTTTAGAGACAGGTATACCTCTTCCTGAGGATCATAGTAGTAGAACTTTCGGATATAAGAAATCAGAGGCCTATGAAAAATACAAGAGGGATACACACAAGATGTTATTTACATAGATTATAAAAGAAAGCCCACCTTTGTTCAACCCTCCCTTCTTTTCAAACCCTCTATGGTTGGGAAGACACCAAAGACTCTCTGCTGCCCTGACTTTCCTGCTTTCTCACTTATTATAGTTCTGTCTCCCTCCCCTTTTACCACCTCCACTCTACCCTTCACAGAGTCTGCAGAAGGGAAGCCGACACACACACACCTTCCTCATTCCTGGCTGCGATCTGACATTTCTAAGTCAGGTGCTAAGACACAGGACACGTAATGGGAAGACACCTGTGAGTACTGTCAGGCTCTGCCTGTGCACTCGGCTTGCAGGCCTCACTAACAGCTGTAACTAACCCTCCACTCCTGTCCCAACCCTAAAGACCCCATTGTACTTAGGCAGTGGGAGATCCGGGATGTGATCTATCCGGACGAGCTGTCGGATTCGGAATCGGCAAAGGTGCTGGAGGGATTTGACATTGCTGAATCGGGACACTGGATAGAGCAGCTGCACTGGAGTTGGTGGCAGTCCTTCAAGAATGAAATGGAGAGAAATATTCAAAGGAAACAAAAGCAGCTAACTATTATTTCCTTTACAAAGAGAGTCGAGGGAAGGGAAATGGGACTTCTTTATAGTTCATATATGTGTTCTGTGCAAAAGCTCCCTCCACAAAGGACTGCTGATTTCCATCTGCAGAAGCACCAATACCATATTTCATACTCAAGGAAATCTATCCTCCCCTGCTGAGGACCTCCCCGGCATCACTCTTAACAGCTGAGTCCTGCTCTTCAGAATGGTTCAATGAAAAATGCCAAGCTAGAGACTGCCTGCAGCCAAGTAGCCAATCCCAGGCCCAAGGCCCTCAGTGAAGGGCAGGAATCAAAGGCATCCCTACTGAGGATGGGACATACTTGTTTAGCACATCTAGAGTATCCTGAAGGTGAGGACTGTTCAGAAAGGTCCCCAAAGGCTGCTCAGAAGGGTCCCCACCAAGGAGAGGCTGAAGGCAACAGCTGGGATCAAAGTTTACAAGCCACTCACTCCTGCCATTTACTTCAATCTGGGACAGTCAAGTTGAGCTACCTCTTAGCCTTTCCCAACCCTCCATTCCCACCAACCACCCTTCTTTCATGTTGAAATTTTAGACTGGGTGAAAGGGGAAAAAGAAAAAGGAAAAAAAAAGAGGATACTTTTAAAAAGAAAAACAACTACAGGAGGTTGGGCAAGCTGGAATTAGCACTACTCAGTGCACAATGCCTGCTGACGATGCCAGCCAGGCCCAGTGGGAGCCCCACAATCTTATGTTTCATCATGGTATCAGCAGGCTCTGTGCTGGAAATTCCAACCCCCACAAGGGTCAATGCCACAAAATGGAGACACCCAGAATGGCAAGGACACTGAAACAGGTTCAAGGGAACAAAGAATATTCTAGTTTCAATAAACAAAGGGCCCATGGAAGGTAAACTAGCAAACTGCTCTCAGAAAGAATATGAGTTGCAAGACCTTTGAAAGAATTCTTTTCTCAGCCATTGTCCTATCAAAAGAAATTCTGTAGACACAACTTGTTGGAAAATAAAATACCTACTATTTTTGGAATTTAATTTCAAATGGTTTTCAAATTTTGTTTGAAAGTGTGAGATGAAAAAAATTAAGGCTTGCAGATTGCCTCCCAAAGCCTTTTCACGGTTGTTAACAACTGACTTTCTAAAAAAAAAAATGAAATACATATTATGCTGTTACTAAACAAGCCAGCTTATCTTAAATCATTTAACTCATTTAGTCTTCAAACTGTACTCTGAGACAGATACCACTATTATCCCCATTTCACATATGAAGAAACTGAGGCCTGTTGGGCTTAGAGAATTTGCTTATGGCACACAACCAACAAAGCCGGCCTGCCTTAAAGACCTGCTCTGTCTGAGGAAGTTTAACCAGGGAACCTCAAAGGAGGGTTCTCCAGGAGTCCTCCCAGAGCTTCTGTCCCTCTGGCTGGCTGACAGGGACACTGTCCAGGACAGCCACAGCATCTTGACTTAGGATCAGCCTCTCAGTCCCCACCTCTCACTCCCATCCTTTCAAGCCTAAGGCCTGTATTTTGAAGCACTGTAGCCCTCCTCCACTCACACATACCACTGGCTGGTCCTCTCCTCACACATCGTTTAAAAAAAAAGAATTCACACCTGGATTTCTCTCTTGAATATATTTAAACTCAAGTGGTCTTACAATGATTTGGGGTTTAAAGGGCTCTTCGAATTTACCCTTTCTTTCATATGTTTTAAAAATAGTCTTTGGTCAATTAAATGTAACAAACAATAAGCTTTGGGGGTTGGCTGTAATACTGCTACTCAACATGACGTTTCAGAAATAAAAGTAATTTATGTATCTAATGATTTGTTCCCAAAGACAGTATTACAGGACTTGTGCTTAAACAGGTCAGGATAATAAGTAGCATACAATTATCTGATTGTTTGCCTACTTGAATTTTAATGACCATATAAACTTGCCTATTTAATTGTGTTACTTTTAGCCTTAAGTTCACAAATAGCTATTTGAAACCTGTTAACTCTCTGATATTCGCTATGTCAACATGATCATTTACTGTTTGCTCCCAAACACATAAAAAGACTGGAGTTGTCATATCCAGTGTTAAAAGCAGAGTTCAGAAATGGAAATAAATCCAACACAGGACACCAGTGTAGCTAAAAGGGAAAGACAAGGTGGAACAGTGATCAACAAGAACTTTCCCCTGGTCCTCATGCCGGGGTACTGGACACAAATCCAGCTTCCAGCCACTTCACTATTTTCTCTTCCCTTAAAAAGGGCCAGGTTGGAGATGACACATCTCTTCCAGGTCTGAGCACCCAAACACCCAGGTCCTTCTCCCACACTAAACTGTTCCCTGAAGACCAGAATTATCCAGTCCAAAATATCTGTCAATAGGGCTGAATTGAAAAACCCTACGATACAAGGAAGACATATTATTGAACAAGTAATTATAGTGTTAATGATGGTTACAAAAGAGAAAGATACCAAATTCCTTAGAGTTGTCCAATTCAAAATGTGATTAAAAAAACAAAAAGTATTTTTTCATCATGCACTTCACAAATGGTGGCGATTCTCCTTGCTAAGGAGGACACATTCACTTTGAGTTCTAGCTCTCAGAGCATCAGAGATTTTGTGCTAATCCAATCACATTCTCCATTTGAGACTGCTGCTTGGTCTTAGGGGTTTAGTTTACAAATGTGAAATGGACCAGACTAAGATGATGTAATCAAACAATCTCAGATTGGTCATGACCATGACCCAACATTGCCATAAGAAAAGAGGCAAACCAAGCTCAGGCACCATCACTTTTACTAAGGATTCCTCCCCTAGATGCTATTTATTCCATTTGCTCTAATTAATTTCCTTCTGCTCCTTATTTGCCACCATCCAGAACTTTCCCATTAGTCCTAGCTTTACAATTCCTATGATCCCTGGCATCCTTTTACACCAGTCTGGACATGCCTGCTAGTGCATCCAGCTCTAGATTTGAGCCAGAAAAACCTGACTTTGCATCCTGACTCTGCAACTCACTATACATCAGTTTCTTCATCTGTATTAAAAAAAAGAAAAGGTGGGGGGATGGGCTTTAACATCCCTTCAAAAGATTTCATAAGGGCTAAATGAAATAATACTGGGCCCCTGGAAGGCATTCATCCCAAAGTCTAAACCAAAAGGCTCCTTTTAGAATTTACTGAATTAAAATCCTTGATGTAGGCTTACAGAGCTGAACCTAAATGCCAATAACTACTACTTCCTCACAGGAATCCTCTCCCCCAATAAAGTCAGCCTCACAGAATGCCTAGACCTCTGTGATAAGGAAGAAAGCCAGCAATGGTAAAGGAGAACACTTGGCCTTGACTTCTTTGTCCCAAGCCTTCAAAGAGAGGTCACTTATGGTCTAGGGGCAAATACTAATTCGCTTTGACTCCTCAACTTGATTATGATTTTAAGTGCAAATAGGTATTCTACCTGTAGCATTCCCCACAGGTCCTACAAAGACACCCTCCACTAATAAACACAATTCTGTCTTCTTTATGTTTCCACGAATCCCAGCAAACTGAATCTTCTATTTGCATACCGCTACTTTTCCCTGTAACAGGCTGGTAAATAAAATACAAAATTTGGGGGGAGTTAGCTGGGCCTGGTTTGAATCCTGGCTTCAGCACTGATCAGCTGAGTGACCTTTAGAGCCAAAAGTGGCTTTACTTTTGAGCCTCGGCCTCAGTTTCCTCACTGGCAAGATAAAAATAGTCTTGTCTTTTTTTGTTGTTTGTTTGTTTAAATAGACCAATCTATTAGCTAACTATGGGGGTTGTTGCAAGAAATAAGACATATTTAAAATAAAGAACCTGACAAAGTACCTGGCACATGATAAGCACATGATACGCAGCAATCCTACAAGCTCTAACCCTTAACAATGTTAAGAATCTTAGTTAAAATTTCTAAAGACAGAGCATATTTGTGGAATGAAATGAGCTATACCTAAGGAGTCCAAGAGTCCACGAAGTCTCTCAATACTCTACAAGTAGATACATGCTCCAGAGTCCTTGAGAGGACTTCCCTGGTTCGCCCTCAGAGCTGATTGCCCACCCCGTCCTTGTCAATCACTGCCATGCTTTGTACTGAATTTAACATGTGCTCTTGCCTTTATCTTCCTACCTGTCCCCTTTTTGAAGCTATGAGCTCTCTGAGAGTAGAGATGTGACTTATTTTTGATTCTGAGTTTTAAAAAAGTGAGTGTTTCTTTGTTAAATAAATACTCCTCAAAAGCCACAAACTTTAAAAATTGCTAAGCAGAGTCAATTCCTATAAAATAGGATTCTAACTTTTTCCTTTAACCAAGTCAACAGCATGAGACCCAACTGTGTTGACAGCACTGAGGCAAATACTAAATAAGTGAGAATTAATACAGTTCACACACTGTCATGCCTTATTTAAAACACTAAGATTATAAAACACATTCCTATATCCCAGCTCAATCCTGTTACTGATGTTCTTCTGGGGGCTCCCCTATAACTTCTTTTTAGAGCAATTTCTTGGCATCCAGCTTGTTTAAGAATCTTAATTTGATTCAATGGAAAAGCATGAAGTTCTCATTTCAATTGTTTGTTTGTTTGTTTATTTATTTAGTAGGGGGAGGTAATTAGGTTTATTTTTTAATGGAAGTACTAGGGATTGAACTCAGGACCTCATGCATGCTAAGCAGACACTCTACCACTGAGCTATACCCTCCCCCATTTTAATTCTGTTTTGATCTTACAAATTCTTCAGTTTTTCCAACACCATAAAAGCAGATTTCTCCAAACCATCCCCGTTCCCCACCCTTCAACAGAGATTGCACAGATATCTTCCTACTTAGTGGGCAGGAAGACTATATAACCACACCAGCAAGGATGAGAACTGCCCAGTGTTTCCAAGTAGAGAGTAGTCTCTGTATTCAACACTGGCAGGGATACAGGACAACAAAAATATCTACTCTTCAATAGTAAGTTTAGTACAAATAGCTAGAATCCAGAGCAGACTGCTTCTAAACTCAGCCTCCCTGACACTCACCACTGCCTTTCCAGTGAACACTCTTTTACTTTCCCTATTCCCATGGAAATGACCCGAGAGCTCCCTGTTTCATATGTAAGTGTGAGATGCCCAAATCAGGGACAAGGAGATACCTCTGAATGTTAAACATTCACATGATGCCTGAACATCAGAGGCGGAATCAGTTTTTTCATTCATGTGGTCAGAGAAGCAAAGATTCCTTCTCAGCATGTTGAGGGATTAACGTACAAGGGCAAGAGATTAAGCACTGGGCTGCAGGAAGAGTGATTGCTATAGGAGCCAGGAAAAAAAACTTCAGGTAAGTGTGGGTTTTTTGTAGGGTGGGGGTGGAGATCCTATACTGGCTCGTACCCAAGTATGTTAAATAATTAATGTAACTATAGCCTTACCTGGAACCCTGGATCTCAAGAAATAGAGAAACTTCCCATTCTTGGAGTGCATGATGGCTCTCTTAATGAACTCCACCACTGACTGACAGCGATCCTCAAATTTGGGATGACACCACAGGCTGAAGGTTCCTGCCATGGAAAGTAAGGAGAGATAAAAATGCAAAACTTCCTTCAAAAAGATCTGAGAAGCTGGCTTGAACATTTTAATGATTCTCACTTCTGGGAGGGTAGTTTGTGGTCAAGCTGAGTCAGACAAAGGTCCCTGTTCCTGCTTATTCCACAACTAATAGAAAGATGTTGCCTTTAAGTAAGACATAAGGTTTTTGTTAAACAAGTAAATAATAAATTAATGTCAGAAAAAAAGATACAAAAAGATTTTGTTGACCGTGAACACTAATCTTTAGACCATAAACCATAAAGAAAAGACTACTATAGCAAAAGCGAATTTAAATGACATCCCCTCAAGAAGATCTAAGTCTTCAAGGATGCCTGGGCTAGCCAAGGAAAAATAGAAGCAGTTTTGTGGGCACCACTCATTCATGTGTGTTAGGCACAAAAAATTAAATTCTAAGTCTTTTCTTCTTTAATTGCTAAAATCCCATGCCTCAACATGTTACAAAGATCCCACCCCAAACTTTAGAATCCCACAGGCAAAAGGGAATCTGAACTCCCATGGCTTAAAAAAACAACAAAAAACTCCCCGCTGAATCCGAGAGTCACAAAAGGGATACTCATCACTCAAGAGAACTGCAGAATTTGAGTCTCCCTAGCTCCTCTTACAGGATTACTTAAAAAGATGAAGACAAATGTTCCACTGCAAACTAGCAACTGAAAGGCCCAGAGGCTTCTATTAAAAATTCCATTTATTCAAGGAAGAAAGGTCCCTTTGAACAAAAAGTAACTGGAGAACCATCTGGAAGAGCTCCCTCATTCCTGTCATCTCACCTCAGGAACCTAGAGGTCAAGCATTTATTCATCATTCCCCTGGCCTCATCATTTATCATTTTAGTAGATTTATAAAAGCACTTCACTCTGAAATGCTTTGTTTTGCATTTTGGGTTTTTCGTTTGTTTGATTTTTTTTGTCTTTTTTTTTTAACCTTCCTTTTCATTTTTAATTTATTAATATTTTTTCTTTTTCTTTTTTAATGGAGGTACTGGGGATTGAACCAAGGACCTTGTACTTGCTAAGCATGTGCTCTACCCCTGAGCTATATCCCTCCCCACTTTGTTTGATTTTTGCTTTTAGGAACAGCAGGAAAATAGGTAGCTAAGTAATTCTCAGGTCTTTGGACTGAAGTTCCTTTCTTTTCATGCATCTCTAAGGGAGAGGTGGGGGCAGAGGGAACTATGGACAAAGCTATGCTGACCTAAACAGCTACTTCCTGCCTCATAGGAGAAGCAAACCAAATAAATACAGCAGAACATGACTGAGAGCAGGAAAGACATGGTGGTTCCTGAGAAGAGCATGAAACACTCTTACTTGAAATGCAGTAACTATTACAGCCCATTCAAGGTGGATCACCTGCGGGAAGAGAATGAGGGACAGAAGGGGCAAGTCCCTGAAACTCCAGAGTTCTTCACAATTTTTAAATTCGTAGATATCACAGGTATTTTGACACAGGATGTATTACCCAGCCCTACACCAATGACCATCACAAGTCACAGAATGCCCCGATGCAAAGTCAATCCAGAGAGCAGTGCTGAACAAGTCAGCTTCCAGACGTGACTGGAACATTAAGCACTACCTGACCACAGAGCAGGAGGTACTGCCAGGGAGGAAGGCAGACGGTCTAAAGCACGTCGATCCTGAGAACTCTCAGAACTCTGATGACTATTTCCTATGAGACTACAGGACTGACAAGAAGTCATCACCACGCTGCCTGACAGGAAAAGCTGATGTGACTATCAGGCAAAGACATCCAGAACAGACGAGACACAGGATCAACACGAAATTGTCTTCTTTGTATATATGATTTAGCAGTAAATCTCTCTAGATGGTAATGTTTAATTATGAACCAAAGCTTGGGAGAATTTGTCCAATGGTCCTAGGTTACTTCCTCCTTCTACCAAGGGAGTTTTACTGGCTTTGTTCAACAGTCTTGTTCAGACTCTCCTATTTAGGAGACAATATGCTAAGAATATTTTTAAATAGAGCCCTTACTCTCCTCCCCACTTCTGCCAATATTGCTTCTGGTGATCGAAACCAGTGCCATATCAACATTCAACTGAGTCTATGAGATTCCACCCCCTATTCATAGTTCCATTTCTATGAATCCTTCCAATGAAACAGTCAGATAGCAAAGGTAGAGAAAGGCAAAGCGGGAAGAAGGCTTCCTTCAGATGCCAGCACCTCTCACCTCTGTAGTGCTCCATTCTAGTGTGGTGGGTGATACCCTGTGATCGGAAACTGAGGCTCAGGATATAACGAGGATCAGAGCTGTCTCGTACCAGGAAAGAACCATCGGGCTTGCCTTTCAGCTTCATCTCTGCATCTTCCCAATTCATCGGCCCCCAATACCAACCACACTATGAAAGAAGAAGCGGTCAAGCACTTAACAGAGAAATGTCAAAGTCTGCAGCACAATTTATCTTACCACAAAAACTCCTCATTTCTGAAACATTTCAGAATGTAAAAGCCACTAAGGGTGTCTCAACCATTAGCAATGAACATCAGGCTCATCATACTCTCAGCCCTGTAAAACAACAGCAGAATAACTCTACAATTCCATTACCAAGGCCCTGCAAAGAAAAGGAGGGGTACTTGAGTCACTTAATGTATCACCATCAGCTTAGACTACGTAAACACTTCTCCATAAACTTTCTTCATCACATTCAGATTTTTTTTCAGACTCAATTTTATGACATCTCTTATAGAACTAATAATAGCAGCATATATATTGCTTTCTCACTATAAATACAGAGGCAAGGAAACCACTCTTCCTCTAAAAATAATAAAAGGGGAGCCTGGTACAGAATTAAGAGAGTGGGAGAGGAGGCAAACCACCAGTCCTTGGATACCACCTACCTTCTCCAACTCTCGAAGGCTGGCCGCAAAGCTGCTCGAGTCGGGCCGGTAGAGGGGACACTGGAGGTGTTGCGGGGGCTGGCTGTGTAGGGATTCAGCTGCTCGGATGGGAGCAATCCGGGGAAATGCATCTGCAGGGCGAGAGTGGTGGTCATTGTTCCCAACCTCAAGCAGACCCTCCCCCCAAAACAGAGATGCTAACTGAAGACGGGCAAGGCATTAGAAGCTAAGCTGGAAAGGGGGGAAGCCAAAGCAGTGGAAAGAGCTGGATGGGCTGGGACAAAAAGCTGTGTGGGCTTGTGTAAGCTGTGAAGGATGGGTGGGGGCGTTTAACCCCAGGAAAGGGGTCGGGAGCTGCTCACTAACCTGACTAAGGTGACTACTTCGGGGCCTTCACCAGCCTAGATCGATTCCAACTTCTCCCACCACGAGGTGAAGTGCCGGTAAAGCAGCCTTGGAAATAGTGACTTGTTTACTTGCCCAGGAAGAGTATCGGCAAGTAGATTTTGCCAGGCAAGTAGAAAAGAATGTCGATTTCATTCGTTTTATTCCTTGGGTACTGGAGGCTGGCAAAGCAGGTATGGGCTAAATGCTTGGTACTTATTTACAAGGCTGCAATAAATACTAAAAGCTTAGAAAAACCACAGGACTTTGAAAAACAGCAACACATTAAACCTCACTCTGCTGAAACTAAGGCAGTTTCCTAAGTGACATCTACTCAAGGACTGCAAAACAGTCTCAGCAGTAAAGAGACAAAAATTCCAATGGTCTGTTATCTCTAACAAAAATCAGATTCACCTCCATAAAAAAAATGGGTTAAAAAAACCAGTTCTCGGCCTCATTTCCAAGAGTTCTGGTCCTGCCAAAGGGATAAAATTTAAGCTTTCTCATAAGTTCTGTTATTTCCATGAATAGATTTCTCCCATCCTTCAAAAGTTTCTCACTTTGTACTCCCAACGCTTCAAGTCTTGCTGCTAAACTAAGCTAACCTGGGGCATGGGGTGGAGGAGGCGGAGGTAGGGGGAAAGACTGCAGGGAAGACCCCATCGGAGCCACAAGGACAGATGTAGGCAGCGTCCCACTGATATCATCTAGAAGAGAGAACAAAAGCAAGAGGTTCAGAAATATGAGCGCAGAATGAGCAGGGTGAAGGTAGTGGAGATGAGAAGGATCAGGCTGCCTGCTGAGGCAAGATGGCCTGACTTTCACCCGGTCTTTTTGCACACAGGGCAACAATCATCTTAATCTGGTTTCCTCTGCTCAAAAGTAGGCAACTAAGCATATTCCTAAAGCTGCCCACCAGCAGTAGATTCAGGGCAAGATAAATACAGATCTGGTCAACATATGGACAGGAAATGTTATGTACGCAGGTAAGTTTCAGGAGAGACAGGGGTGCTCAGAAAGGGACAGGAAATAACTGGGTCAGCATTAGAAACCCAGGAGCTTGTTTGGCTCCTGGCAAAGAACAACAAGTCCAGAGAGTTCACCCTCCCACCAGGGTAAGAAGGCAGAGAGGGGAGGAGACTGTACCTAGGAGGCTGAGGCTTCTTCGTGGAGGAGGAGGGGGAGTTGGAGGGTGTGGAGAGGTCATGCCCCGCTGAGAGATGTCCACATCCACAAGTGACACTGTTTCACCTGAGGGATTCATGGAGCGAGCATGTTATAGAAGCACCTTGCCCAAAGCCAAGGCGGGGAAGCAGAGGGCAAGCAAGGGAAGCTAGAGGTCCACGGCTCTCAGAAAGCTCAAATCCAATGCTCCCACGGCTGGAGTACCCCCCAGCCTCCCAGCCCAGGCACCAGTCCGAACACCTGGGAAGTCAATTAGAAATTCTGAGGTCAATTTTAAACTCTATTGCTCCTTTACCTTGCTAAAGATCAAGGATCTTCAGAACAAAAACATGGGATTGACTGGAAAAGCCAACTAATGTTGGCTCTGCCACTGAGGATATAACCTTGAACAAGAAGTCTTTATTCAAATGGAACCCACAACATTTATTTTTACAGACTTGAATATCAATTTCTGCCTCGGGGAGCAAGGCAAGCAGCTTGTTACAAACCCAAATGGACATGGAAAGCAAGTGCCAGAAAAATGTAAGAACTGCTTAGCTGAATGCTTAAAGGTGCCAACGTTAGCCCCAATTTCTTTCTAAATGGCTTTCCACACCTAGATTTTCCAGAATATTCACTCATAAGAGAACTATTTCATATATCAACTAATTCCTAATAACTGAGGCTACAAAGGCTGAAAAGTCTATTTACAACTCTAATAATGAACTACTTCCACAGTCAGCCAAAAGTCAGGTAAGCCTAGTCGCAACAGGAACTCAGTGGGGGTGGCATGTGGTTTCTCTTCCCAGCATGTCATGCAGTTCTATCCTCTGCCATATACAGTTCTTCTTGCCACCCAACCCCATTTACCCTCTCTCAAATTTGAATCACCAAAGTGAAGGGTATTTTATCAACAAAAGGTTCATATTCAAAAATTGGTTTGTTTTGGTAGGTCTGATCCACAAGTCAGAACCTGGGATTTCTCTAATTTAGCCCTTAGGATGTTATTTCCAACACCCTTTTCTTGTTTAGGAAGCTGAATTAGCCCCTCAGCTAGAATTTTAAGATTTCTCAGTTAAGAAAACAAGGTAACAAATATCTCTAAAAAGGCCAGGAGCTCGGCTTTCAGAATCTAATACAGTTTTTTTTTTAGCAAAGGCCTTGAATATTAATTAAGATAAGCAGAAAAGCTCTTCCAAAAGTCATCAGGGGGAGTTCTAGGAACTCATTACATAGCTTAATAACTGAGGGCCTAACTGCCCAGAGCAATGCAATGAGCCCAGGCAACTGTGTGTCCCAGAGGGTCAGAGAGGTCTAGATTGCAGGTAGCACAGCACTTAAAGAATATAATTTAAGACAGCTAAGGCTCTTTGAAACAAGAATACCGAACCTGAAACTACAAATGTGGTTTTCATTACTTTAAAAAGGAAACAACTACTAACTAGAAAGACATTCTGCTACAGAATAAGATCCTTTAATTCTTTGCTTGGGGTAAGAACAGAGGACCTCCTTCTCCATTTGTGCCTATTTGTTCTGACAGCTCATGGCAATCTACCCAGTAACGGGGGGTTCCCACTAGCCTGCTTAACATTTTCCTGGAAATATCCATTCCCAGATCATAATTCTTGCAGTCATCTTTTTGAGGGACACAATATCTAAAAGAGTTTGAAATTGGGATTTGGTTTAAAGGCTTCTCAGCCATGACCAGCGAGGAGCACTCAGTTTCTGGGACTTGAGGCTGCGCACTCCAGACCTCCTTCTCCACAGCTCATTCCAGCAGGAGCTTCACACCTGACTCACATAACAAAAGGCCTCCCTCTCAGAAAAAGCTCCCCTTTAAAGGAGAAGGCAAAAAGATGTCTGAGGCTTTCCTACTTTAGCAACTGGGTTCCCTGCTGCAAGAGGAGTCTTAAATTAGATACAATGAAGAACTCTTAACAGCTGCAAGAACTGCCTGCCCCTAAAATGGGTAGGACAAGAGTTCATGTGATCCCCCTTGCCCAAAGTCTTTAAAAATAGACCAGCTCATCATGGATCGTATTTATTAGATAATCCATGAACTCCCACTCCCTGGGAAGCTGGGACAGAAATTGCATGACTTCTAGAGAGTCCTTTATGCATTATGAGCCTATAAATTTGTAATTCCTACTTTTAATTTATACGTGATGACCCTGAACTAAAGCACTGCTTAACTGCCAGGGTCACTAATTATCAGCAAGCAGTCTCTACCTCAAACTATACAGCATCCAAAGTCAGGAACACATTCCACACCACAAAAATAGCCTCACCCCAAACCCAGCAGGCACGGAATGAAGAAAACTGCAGACATGCCTGAAGCTCCCTGTGTGATGCATCTGCAAGTATTTACTGACAGGTCTTAGAACACTCCTGCTTTCAGATGTCAGAAGAAAAAGAAAGCGATCACCCTTACCTGTGAACAGGGGGCTGAAGGAGACTGGAGAAAAGGCACTTTGAGTTCTTGTCAACCTGGGTTTCCTGGTGGGGAGGGGTGAGAAAGCACACAGAGAGAATGAGTCGGGGAATGAATACACATGCATTTAAATCACTGCAACACTCAATTCCAGATGCACCGAAAAACAAAGCAAACCCTAGTCATTGTCAGCCACACTTTTGTAATAAAGCCTAAAATTTAAAGGGGGAGAATTAAATAATTAAGGCAATCCCTTAAATAGATTTGGCTACAGAATTCACCAGCCTACAAAGCAATAAGAAAGCCCTTTAGATCTTCCCATACCCAGCATATTAAAAAAATTAAACACCTTGAGTGGTAATTAGCATGTCCATTTCTAGAGGGAGGAAGTCAGATGCAGAGTTGATTTTCATATAGGAGCCAAGAAAAAGGTTCTTGACCTAAACAGGTGCCATCTCAGGGCAACAGCTTTCCCTCTGGGCCCACCCTTAGGAGCAGGAGGCCGTGAACCAGGCACAACTCTGGGACTTGAGAGCAGCACTACAGGATGCACCTGCAATTTACAACTAATAAGACCTCGGATTTCTGCACAAATGTCCCCAAGCCATGGGTCAAAGCCATCAGCTAACAAGGGGGTCCCTTCCAGTTAGGGGCTCTGTCTGGCACCCAAAGAAGGTGGCACCTTCCCCTCTCTGAGCTGCCAGTCATAGTACTCGCCCCGTGACTTCTCCCTGATGCTCCTCCCCTAAACCAGCTGGGAAACCCAGATCTCCTGTGAAAAGATACACCAGAAGTAACTTCACTTTGCATCAATTTCAACTGGCTTTTCAGTGCGAAATGAAAGAAATCCAAAAGACTCTGACGAAGACTTTCTAGTTAGAAACGTGCTAAGACCAAAAAACTCACCTCAGGATGACTGAATTGACTACAAGGGAAAGAACTTGTGGAGGTGATGAAAATATGCTATACCTTGACTGCACTAGAGGTTATGATGACTAAAGGCATTTGTCAAAATTAATAGAACTGAACAACTGAAAAAGGTGTATTTTAGGTGGTATATAAATTATATCTCAATGAATCAAACAAAAAAAATTCCACCACCAAATTAAGTGCCTGACTCTACACCTTGTAGCTGGTTCACTTTCCAAAAGTACTTTCACCCAAAGGACTAAATAAAACTTCAGCTGCACCAGTAGACGGGGGCAGAAGCAAAGAAAATCCAAAATGAAATCCTATTTAAAATTATTTAATTTTGGAAGATCTTTATGTGTTTATGTTTTAAAAAAGAAGTCTGTGCTTCTCAAACTCACTTCAAACAGAATTTCACAACCATACTGTGAAGACCTTCCTCAGAAATAGCCGAGATGCTGGATTCCCTCTCCTGACCTATCACACTCCCTCTGCAGCCGCCTCCATGCTGCGACTTGAGAAGTCTAATGATGGTGCCCACCATGAACGCCCCACCCACAGCACACACAGGAGAGGGACTGCATCAGAACAAGACACAAGCACACACAGTCTATTTATAAAAGTCGCTCATGGCCGTCTGCAGCTTAGTCCCAACACTCCAGAGGGCTGGAATGGAAAGTTAATTTCACTGGACATGAGCTTTAAGACTGAAGAGATTCCAAGCTGATTTTTATTCGATAACTTGTGGGTACAACATTAAACTCAGCAAGCAGAAACCTAAAGCACTGGCCTTTCAAAGGGTTCACACCTCAGCCATTTGGCCGTTTGCCTCTTTTCAAAGGAAGCTGCATTACTCTGCCATCTGCCCATGCTGAGGACGAGCCTCCTCAGTGCCAAGCACTGAAGAACAGCAGTACCCAAATGCACACATCCTGCGGAGGCCTTCTCGCTCCAGCTCATCTTCTCCCCACCCCCGGCATTCTGAAGGAGAAAATCATAGTTTCCAGAATCTAGAAAAAGAAATGCATCTGATTCTAAACCCAGGCAGAGCCGTTTAAGAGCCCTGGAATGGCTTCTTCTGGCAAATAAGGGGGTCTCAGAGCTGGAAGCTTAGAGAGATAGAAGGTCTAAGAGGCTGAAAGGCTAACAATAAATATGAGTGCTTCCCTCACTCTTTGGGGAGACATTGTATAACTAAAAATCCAAAACAGTTTCTGTCTCAAGGATCCTGAGAGCATTCTAATGGCAGTCATTCATAAAAAGACCAATCTAGACAACTATAAAAAAACATAGCAAGGGAATGATTAACAAAAAATTGAGGATAGCAGTTACATTGGGGGAGGGGAGATGTAATCAGGAGGTAACACACAGGGGTCTTCAAAGGTACCATTCTATTTGTTAAGTTTAGAGATGGATACCTACGTATACATTTCATTATTATTACACTACATATACTTCATATATCACCATATATAAATATATGAAACATTTTAAATGATAACCATTCTAAGCTGGATGTGCTGTTTTTTGGAGAGCAACGCGAAAGCTACAGCTCTGGATAACATTTTTAACTAACCCTTCTATACTACATTCCCATGTCATTTTATTCCTCCCCAGATCACCCTGACAAGCATTAGAATACAAAGTTAAGTCACTGTAACTCTGCCAGTAGGCCACTTGCATCAGCAGCAGAAGGACCTGAGGGGTAGGGTGGGGTTGGATTTGGTGGGCTATGCCTCAGGTAGCAGAACAGGACAGAGGCAGGAGAAGACCTTATGCAAAGGCCATCTTTGAGGCTAATAGTCCTTTGTGTCAGCTATGCATTGCTTGTGCTGCAAGCAACAAAGAGAGAGGAGGCCTCTATCCACTTCCACTCTGCAAATTAATTGTTCAGCAACAGATCTGCGGGATAAAAGGAGTTAAAAGCATTAGACTAGACAGGCTGACAACACATTGATATATCCATTGGCCACTTTTCAAATACCTTGAAACCTAAAATATAAACAATGAATTAGTAATGCTCTCTCTCTCATCCATTAATCTCCTTTACGGTGTCCTAAGATTTACACATGTCCTTTTCTAACTTCTAAAGTAGGAGGTCCAAATATCAGGTTTTGCAGCCACAATTTACCTCTGCCCCTGCTAAAGCACACAGTGCCAAGTCAGCCAGCCTGTGCCATTTCCAACATACCATAAGCCAGTGTCTGTTCATGTGCTACAGGCACAAAAACCATGTGTTCATTTTTAGTTCCAATACACAGACATCTGTGCAACAAGGTCAGATCCAAAACTCCATCGTAAACCAACTAAAGAACCTATGGAGCGAACTTCCAGGGAAAAGCCCAGAGGCACAGCTCAAGGTCTAACCTTAGAAATTATGTTAGTGGGCAAAATGTTAGAGTAAAAGACACAAGACTCAAACGGACAGAGATTTCTGAAGCCAGGCTGCTTATTCCAAAAGAAAGCTGCCAACCACAACCACTTTATGGAAAAATAGTCAAAAAGATCAACGGAGCATGGGCCCAAAATACAAACATAAAGTCAGACACTCCTCCCCATACCATAAAATCATTTTGCTCTCAGCATGTCCTGCTCTTTCTCAAAAAGACCCCCTTAGACGTGAAGACCCAAGAAAAAGAGAAAAGGGTTTTTCGTAACTGCCAGGTCTGTCCACGACAGCAGGGCCCCAAACTGATGCCAAGGCAGCCTGCCTCTCTTTCCAGAATTGTATCTTCTTCCCCAAACAAACAGATAGGAAACCACTACAGAACTGTTCTCCATTTTTCCACCTCACAACTATGAAGACTGCCAGTAATAGCCTCAACTGTTAAGTAGGAAAAAAGCAAACCTTGAGAAACAAACAAGGTACCCATTTCCAACCAAGTACGTATTATGTGATGATTCCAAAAAGTCAGATCAAATGTGATTTCTCATCAAATACAAAGGAAGACAATCAGCTCAGCATATGTGAAACAGACAAGGGAACTTCACTGGTTTTCCTGAAATAGCAGTTCTATATAACACTGAAGCCCATAGGCATCAAGCCCAGCTCTTTGAATTCCAACATATGTGTGTTACATGGTCTCGCCCAGTTCTCCAGAACAGAAACCTGATTAGCTGGTGGGCCTATTTCTTCCTTCACTTCAAAAGAGTTCTCTAAGACTCAGTATAACCAGGAAGGTCAACTTAGCAGACTCTAACGCATCTGAAATAAACTAGTTTTGCTTAATGTTAAAATATGGAAACTGTTAAGCCTTATAAAAATGACTGAATGAGGGATTTTCTAGTGATAGCTGTAGAAAAGGCAGATGCTGAGAAGAGCAAAGAGAATCATGCCCAGAGGTTATTGTAAAAGCCAAAAATTATACAGCAAAGACTGCAGAGACTAGTAATTAACTCCAACCAACAATAAGAAGGCAGGCATATACCTTCTGGCAAAAGATAGACATTTCTCATGGCTTCTAGGTCCTACCAATCAAAATAAGAGAACAAGCTAAAAATCCAAACTTAGCCTTCCTCCCAATAGGGCGGACTTAGTAAGGAGGTGCAGATCCATAGCAATCACAACTACCCCGGCCAGACTTCCCAAGATTCTCACAGCTGCGAGGCTGCCAGCAAGACTGGCACATAGTAAGCTGTGGGAAAGCTAACAAGCAAATCTAACAGCACCAAATCCTAAGCATTTAAAAAAAAATCACCAGTTCAATCTTATTACTTCTCCAAAAGCACAAAATATTGCATCTCAATTTCTCTTGTCTTCATTCTCTATTCGTAAGGACAGGAACAAGATCGGAAGCACTCCCATTTTACAGACTGAAAAAAAAAGGGGGGAAGCATGAAGAAGACAAAATTGGTCTGCACCCTACAGCTGGTGTTGGAGCCCAAAAGCAATCTAGATGTTCACATTCTCTGTACAACATGCTGCCTCTTAACAGCAGTCAAGCAAACGTTCATACATGAATACCTAGCTCTTCTCCAAATCATCAGAAAAAGCTCTTGGACCAAAAAATGTAATTCTCCAGTGCCCTGAACTAAGCTTCTTTGCAGAGCTACAGCCCAATTTGCTCTGCAGCAGAAATCTGTATTGTGCTTAGTGTGAGGGTTGGTGACAGAGCAGCCAATGACCATTAAATTCTGCTTCCAAAGGCAAAAAACCATACAATGTTATTCGCCTCTTCCTCTTCCTAATCTATTAGACATACCAGCTAATTTCACGCCACACCTCTTATTTGGTGTCTCTGAAATCTTAGACCAAGTCCTGGTCAATATGCAACAAAGGTAAGACAAACCACAAGAAAATTAGTCATCTATCCTATGTAATTACCCACCGCTTCAATCCTGCCCTCCCCCAACTGATGAAAATTTCATCTACACTGCTAAGTGGAGCATCGAAACGCAGAGCCTACCACAAATAAGCTGTTTCAGCAGCCACACACTTTTCCAGACCTGAGCTCCCAGCATGAGTTCATTGGGAGGCAAATGCAGAAACATACACCTACCTGAAGGGGCAACATGCATCAACCTACTGATTTTTTTGGGAATCTGGGTTTGGTCTGATCCCCAGGATGAGCCCCTGGCACAGCTGTTCAGAAAAGGCAACAAAGTCAATGGGACCCCACACTTTCCTCTTGGAGTATAAGTTCCCTTGAAAAGAAATGTTCATGGATGAATGGTTCCCCATCCAGGCCACATCTCTGGATCAACAGGGGAGCTTTTCAAAAATTCATATTCTTGGGTCCTCTGATCTTTTCTCAAATCTCCCCATGTGCTTCTGGTGCACAGTAAAGTTCTCAACTTATTTGTCTACCTGTTCTTCAGCCTTGGGTTGTGGCTACCCATCAGTGTGTCTCAAGAATCCATCACATGAACTGCACCAAAACCAACTCCAGTGGTTCTAAGAACCCATTCAACAGCGCAAACCACGATGGTTGGTACCACAAGGGAGGTTTCATTTCACTGACACAAAACTTGACAGCTTTCTAAACTGATATACAGATCTAACACTGGATGTCAGAGAGCAGTCCACCCTTCAGAGATGCAGGGAAAAACTCAATGCTAAGTTTGGAATTTTCATCATTTGGCCTAGAGCTCACATGTCCATACCTCGTAATTCTCATATGGGCTTGAGAGCAAAGCTTTTTTCTATTTTCACAGTGGTCAGTACACAGTCTTGAGATAACAAGTATATGTAAGAGACCAACTAAGAGAACATTAAAACTGAATAGAGATGCCCAATTGACTGCTGGCATACTGCACAAGTCTGTCACATCATTTGTATGCGTTAGTGTGAAGGGGGTGAGGTGTTGATACACAGAAAGAATAAGCAAAAATGCAGCATCAACTTTTTGCCTAAAGGCCACACATTTCCAGCAAGCTCCCTGCCAGGGGTAACAGGAGACAAACAACTTGGAAAAACTTTAAAACCTGAGCCAGGGTTGGGGTATGAGGGTATGGTTTCAAATCACCTCCCAACTAGAGAGATGCTAACCAGCTAAGAAGTATCACGGAGCAGGGGGCAAGGGGGACTGGATTTTTAGAGCAAAGGCTGCTCCCACAATTAGCTCTGGCCTAAAGGGCGAAGTCACCATCTTTAGTCCCAAGTCTCTGTTTCTCCTTATGAAGGCTATATCTTAAGAACTGTCAGGATCGTGTTAGCAGCAGGGGGAAAAAAAGGGAAATGAAACAAGAAAAGGAAGTTTGCAGCCAGCCCCACCGCCCCACAGCCGGTCTCACCTCCCCGAGTCCAGCTCCCGGCCCGTAGAGCCTCCCATGTCTGTCAGGCTCGCAGCTGAAGCAGCCAGCTCTCCAGAAGGCCTCTTGCCGGCCCCATCACCACCGCCGGAGCCACCGTTGCAGCTCTTCGTGCGAAAGAGGCGACTGAGGCGGATTTTGAGCGAGCCCTTCCGAGAAGGGCCCGAGAGCGGCCGGAGGGGCCCAGGAGGAGGAGGGGGCGGGGGAGGTTGCTGTTGCTGCTCCCCTCTACTCGAGCGCCCTGGAGGGACCAAGTCCTGCATCGGGAAGGGCACCGGGGGTAATTCAGGGCCTGGGGGCTGCAGCAGAAGCCGGCCGCCTCCTCCTCCCCCACGGCCCGGGCTGCTGAGCTCCTCTTCCGAGCAGCTGTTAGTCTCCAGGCTCTCGGCCTCCGACTCCAAGCCCTCCAAGACCAGCAGCGCGTCGCTCGTTTCTGTGGGGTCCTCCCCGGCCTGCGGGGCGGCAGCAGGCGGCATGGGCTGCGGAGGAGGAGGCTGCGGGGGGCACGGGCACGGGCAGCAAC